CCAGCATTGCCACCTGTCAGTGTCCATCAGTGCTTTGTGTCAGTGCTCATCAGTGCCTCGTGCCAGTGCCCATCAGTGCCACATAAGTGCCACATATCAGTGCCTACCAGTGCACATCAATTCCTTGTAGGAAGTGTAAAGTTTGTAGGACTGTAAAAGTTGGTAATAATAAAAAAAGAAAGTCATTCTGCTCTTCATTTTCCAAAAAAGAATATGATATTAAATCCCTGATTACATGCAATTCTACACATGTGATTTATGTTTTAGAATGTCCATGTCATTTGAGATATATTGGGAGAACTGGGAGATGTTTAAAAACAAGAATAGGCGAACATATAAGAAACATAGTAAAAGGATTTGATAAACATAGTGTATCCAAACATTTCAAATTGGTACATAATTGTGATCCGAGCTTACTTACCTTTTATGGGATCGAGATGGTAAAACCCCATTGGAGGGGCTCGGATTTGGTTAATGAGATTTCCAAAAAAGAGACGTTTTGGATTTATGAACTAAATTCCTTGCAACCATTTGGGTTAAATGTCGATATAGATTTGAATTGTTTTCTCACAAATTTTTAATTTTTAAATTTTATGTTATTTTAAGTATATTTTTATATAGGCAACTGTTTAAAGATGATATATGGGAGATTGTATGTTTTTTGTACAATTTTTGCATTATTTTTGTATTATTACTAGAGTTCACCTTTATTTGTGTTGAAAGTGTTACTGGCCCTTTAAGTTCCCTTTTTGAAACACAGTCTTAGAGGGTGCTGGCCCGTTAATGTATTTACTTATTTAATTTATTTATCATTAGTGTTTTATTTAAATTTCTTTTTATTCTATTTTTGTTCTCTTGTTTTAAAGTTTTTTTGCTTGTGATGACAAATATATTGGATACATTGTATATCCTTTGTGGACTCCTGTCATCTGTGGGGCGGCTTGCTTTGCTTGATTCCCCATTGATGTCAGTTGTTCGTTTCCTGTGAGTGAATATTTAAGGAGGTTGAGACGTCTCACATCTATCCGCTCCGTGAGGACGTCGATGACGAAACGCGTAGGACGGAGCTTGATTGATGTGACGTCATTACGTTTTTGGCTGCTAGCTACTGCGCATGTGCTGAGTAGCCAGGCTCGTTTATGTGATTGCTGTTATGCTGTTGATGCTGGTGTCGGCTGGGACACCTCTTGAGTAAGTGCAATGAGTACCTAATAAAGGAATTGGTTTTTATAATATTGCACCATGAAGTCTTTCTGTTTCTCTCGAGTGCTTGGCATTTCCCCCCATGGATACGTTTGAAGGTGGTCCTTTATCTATTGGAGAAGTGGATTTTCGATTAATTACAAAGTTTTTCATCCTGTTATTTCGATCGATGAGGATCGGTGTGTTGCAGAGTTTCCGTTTCTGAAGATATTTATGGATGATCTGCCATTATATTATCAAGGTTTTTTGGTGAAATTTTTCATATTTAGACACTTTTTTTGCACAAAAGTTTTTTGCACTTAAAAGTTTTTTTCATTTTTTTGTGGTATCGGCATATATATATTTTTTTCTGGACTTATGATTTGATGATTTCTTTATATATATTTATACACATTTACTAGCGCAAATTATTTATTTATTGGTACACTTTATATATGGTGATTTTTTGCAGCTGGTACACTATTAGTAAGTTATATAATTTTGACCATAGGCGCTATTATTAATTTTTCTAATGACAAAGTTATCACTGAATAAACAGGCCTATAGCAGAAATGTAAAAATTGCACTGGTCCATGAGGGGTGAAAAGGTGTGAGAGGCAAAGTGGACAAGAATGTTACTGTATAATATGCAGAAGAATCTAATTAGAGATGCAGAAACAAAGGACAACCTTTCACACATGTTTACATATTTTACCATATTTTATTGGCTTTCTTGGCAAAGGTATGTGAAATAAATTGTCAAATACATTTATTTTGCAATAGGAAAACACATGTGAGTGGAAACTATATGTTATATTGAGTGTCCTAAATAAACGGTATTATACTATGGGAAGTTTTCTTTGTGTCCTATATGACGTTTGAGAGGAGGTGGAGTGGAAGTCCTGAGATCCCTTGCTGAGCTGCCTGGAGTAAAGGATTGCCTTGAGGAGAGCATTAGCCTTGTGGCCCTGTGTGGGTTGAGGTGGGGAGGTGAGCAGGCATTGCTGCCATTGGAGGATTCCTTTCTTTGAGCACTAGAAGTGAAGATCACTGAGTTTTTTCACCTATTGCATGGACTTTTTTTGCTCATTTGTTGACACATTTTTTATATATATTTTTTATCACAAGATATAGTAGATTTTAATATATAATATATTTTTGATTGATGTATGGTTTGTCACAATCAATTAATAATCACGTTTTTTGGATTAAGAATCACAGTTTTTAATTCCAATTTCATAGGTTTGTCACAATTTATTATGGATAATTATTTTATTTTTTATTGAATATTATAATCACGGATTTTGATTTTGCATCACTGATTTATTTGAAGAATAATTAAGGGAATATGAATTTTGTTATCTATTTTTTATCACGGATTTATCTATTATTATGAGGTATTTTTGTTTGATATCTTTATGTATTTAAGATATCCCACAGACAGTTATTAATTACATTTTTATTTGTTAATACGGTATTTATTATGTGTATATAGGGATTTATTTTAGCGCTTCACTATTTCAGTGTGTGGGACTCTATAACTTATTGGTTAAGGCAGAGTGATAGCAGCTGTTAGGATAGGGACGCATTCATATTAAGCGCAGGAGGATATTCCCATTTTTTACAACTAGAGAGCACTATCCAGCAATTGAATGTTGCTTATGTGAATTATCAAAGACTGTGTGTTAAATATATTACTCTATTAAAGAGGTACAACACTCAAAAGGTCATTGAAAGAATTAATTGAAAGAGACAATTTAGTGGTGCGAACAATGACAAAGGCAGAAGTGAGAATAACACAGCTCCATGAATTCAGGCAGCTTTCGCCCAAAAGAAAGCAGAAATAGAGGCTCAGGCCGCATATAAGAACGCAGAAATAGAGGCTCAGGCTGCATATAAGAATGCAGAAATGGAGGCTCAGGCCGCAGTATGGAGGTTCAGACCGCACATAAGAAAGCAGAAATTGAGGCTGAGGTAGCATGTAAGAAAGCAGAAATGGAGGCTCAGGCCGCACATCAGAAAGCAGAGAAAGAAGCTGAAGCCACACGCCAATAGGCAGAAATTGAAGTTTTGGAAAAACAATGTGAGCATGCCACAGCCATGGCAAGGTTTAGGGTCTTAGAACAAGCCGCTAGTGAAAACGAAAGAGACAACAGTTCGAGACACTCAGTTGTATCTTATGTCTCAGATTCTTCACACACCTCTCCAGAACGTCAACTCCCTGTCACAACAGCCAAACTACTCCATCACAGTCTCTTCTCTGCACCTACTGTACCTCAAGACCATTTGCTCTTATATCCTCCAATACATCAGATTGCAGCATCTCAGCTAGCCGCAGACACTGGTGTGTATTTAATAGACCATCCAACATACTTTGGCACCAACAGAGTACCTCCTAGCAAACAAACTACTCTACAAACCAACATGCCAATGGACTTTAAGCCAGCTCCGCCTTTGAATGCCTTAACAGCAACATATGTTCCCAAATCACTCCACGTAAGTCCACCAACCGTCACAACCAACTCTGTTCCACCTGCAGTCATGCACCCAAAATATGAAAACACGGACACAATTTGCTAAATACATGCTCCGCAGAGAGCTTGTTAAGACAGGCTTCACCAAGTTTAATGACAAGCCTGAAAATTACAGAGGCTGAAAATTCACTTTTAAGGCCACAATGACTGACCTAGTGTCAGGGCTCCAGGGTATGACCAGAGGTATGTGACTGACGCAGGGAAACGCAGGCTTCAGATAAGTTATAAACAATATAATTTATTAAAGACTAACAATACAAACATAAACGCAGTGCAATACTAAAACATAACACAGTGCAAACGAACCAAACCACCCACAGATAATACATACAATGCAAGCGTCGTCAGGCAGGCCGAGTCAATAACAATCGGGCAGGTAGGTACAGGGGGGTCAGGCAGAGAATGGTCGGGGTCACAAGCCAGGGATAAAACAGGAGAAGTCAGCAGAGGTCCGGATCAGGCAGGGTCAGCAACGAATCAGACAGAGACAGGAACAGGAACAGGAATGCAGGAACAAGATACAGGGCCCAGGAAAAACACACACCAAGGCAAAGACTGCAGATCTGGCCATCACTTAAATAGGCTGGCTGCAGGGTTGAGTCTCTGATTGCTGGGAGCACCCGCTGGCCAGCCCTGGTACTGCAGCCCACAAGGCAGGTGAGTCCCACCATTACTGGCAAGTCCATTCCTAACAGTACCCCCCCCTCAAGGAGCGGCCTCAGGACGCTCCAAACAGTCCTAGCTGGGCAAAATGTTCCACCGCCCGGGTCTGGTAACTGGCGGGATATCAAAGACTGGCACATCGGGCAGGACTCCGGGCAGCGGCACACCGGGCAGGACTCCGGGCAGCGGCACAGCGGGCAGGACTCCGGGCAGCGGCACAGCGGGCAGCGGCACAGCGGGCAGGGCACTCCGGGCAGCGGCACAGCGGGCAGGACTCCGGGCAGCGGCACAGCGGGCCGGACTCCGGGCAGCGGCACAGCGGGCAGAGGTACATCGGGCTGGACTCCGGGCAGAGGCACATCGGGCTGGACTCCGGGCAGAGGCACATCGGGCTGGACTCCGGGCAGAGGCACATCGGGCAGGACTCCGGGCAGAGGCACATCGGGCTGGACTCCGGGCAGAGGCACATCGGGCAGGACTCCGGGCAGAGGCACATCGGGCAGGACTCCGGGCAGAGGCACATCGGGCAGGACTCCGGGCAGAGGCACATCGGGCAGGACTCCGGCAGAGGCACATCGGGCAGGACTCCGGGCAGAGGCACATCGGGCAGGACTCCGGGCAGAGGCACATCGGGCTGGACTCCGGGCAGAGGCACATCGGGCAGGACTCCGGGCAGAGGCACATCGGGCTGGACTCCGGGCAGAGGCACATCGGGCTGGACTCCGGGCAGAGGCACATCGGGCTGGACTCCGGGCAGAGGCACATCGGGCTGGACTCCGGGCAGAGGCACATCGGATCACCAGGCGGAGCAGCAGGCACCGGGCCACCAGGCAGAGCAGCAGGCACTGGGCCACCAGGCGGAGCAGCAGGCACCGGGCCACCAGGCGGAGCGGCAGGCACTGGGCCACCAGGCGGGGTGACAGGCATCGGGCCCCCGGGCGGAGCGACAGGTCTCGGGCCCCCAGGCGGAGCGGCGGGCGCCGGACCCCCAGGCGGAGCGACAGGTCTCGGGCCCCCAGGTGGAGCGGCGGGCGCCGGACCCCCAGGCGGAGCTACACTGTCTCAGGCCCCCAGGCGGAGCGGTAGGCGCCGGACCCCCAGGCGGAGCGACAGGTCTCGGGCCCCCAGGCGGAGCGGCGGGCGCCGGACCCCCATGCGGAGCGACAGGTCTCGGGCCCCCAGGCGGAGCGGCGGGCGCCGGACCCCCAGGCGGAGCGACAGGTCTCGGGCCCCCAGGCGCGGAGCGGCGGGCGCCGGACCCCAGACGGAGCGACAGGTACCGAGTCACCAGGCATGACAGTGGGCTCCGAGTCAACTGGCATGACCGCTGGCACTGGGTCAGACATTGGATCATCTGGCTGGACAGCGGGCATCGGGTCACCAGGCATCAGGTCATTTGGCTCGACAGCGGGCACCGCGTCATCTGGCAAGGCAGTGGGCACCAAGTCACCAGGCACGACAGTGGTCTCTGAGTCAATTGGCACGACAACGGGCACCGGGTCATCAGGTACCGGATCGTCTGGCTCGACAGCAGGCACCGGGTCATCTGGCGCTGTATCGTGTGGCTCGACAGCGGGCATCGGATCACCAGGCATGACCGCGGGCACTGGGTCATCAGGCATTGGATTGTCTGGCTCGACAGCGGCCATCGGGTCACCAGGTATGACAGCAGGGCACTGGGTCACCAGGCATCAGGTCATTTGGCTCGCCAGCGGGCACCGCGTCATCTGGCAAGGCAGTGGGCACCGAGTCACCAGGCACGACAGTGGGCTCTGAGTCAATTGGCACGACAGCGGGCACCAGGTCATCAGGTACCGGATCGTCTGGCTCGACAGCAGGCACCGGGTCATCTGGCGCTGGATCGTCTGGCTCGACAGCGGGCATCGGGTCACCAGGCATCAGGTCATTTGGCTCGACAGTGGGCACCGCGTCATCTGGCAAGGCAGTGGGCACCAAGTCACCAGGCACGACAGTGGGCTCTGAGTCAATTGGCACGACAGCGGGCACCGGGTCATCAGGTACCGGATCGTCTGGCTCGACAGCAGGCACCGGGTCATCTGGCGCTGGATCGTCTGGCTCGACAGCGGGCATCGGATCACCAGGCATGACCGCGGGCACTGGGTCATCAGACATTGGATTGTCTGGCTCGACAGCGGGCATCAGGTCACCAGGTATGACAGCGGGCACCGGGTCATCAGGTACCGGATCGTCTGGATCAACAGCGGGCATCGAGTCAACTGGCCTAATAGGATCATCAGGCTGGATCAGTTCATCAGGCTGGGTAGAAACATCATGCTGGGTAGAGGCATCAGGCTGAATAGAGGCATCAGGCTGAATAGAGGCATCAGGCTGGGTAGAGGCATCAGGCTGGGTAGAGGCATCAGGCTGGGTAGAGGCATCAGGCTGGGTAGAGGCATCAGGCTGGGTACAGACATCAGGCTGGGTACAGACATCAGGTTGAAGTGTGGGTGCCGAGGCACCAGGCTGAACCACGGAAGGCCGGTTCTCAGACGGCAGGCTGACCGGTTTGGATACTGGCAGGATGGTACTGGTTGGAAAGAATTTTCGCTTTTTTCTGGTTTTAACTACTGGAGCACTGCAAGTAAACGCAGGTCCGCAAACGAATGGAGCAGCTGGAGACAGAGAAGAGCTGGAGGATGGAACAGGGGAGGGAACAGTTGCTACAGAGGACTTCTTTACAGGGTTAAAGGCAGGATAGGTGCAGTGAGTGGGAACAGGGTACTGACATGCGGTAGATAGCAGGGCAGGAGGAGCTGTTGGGAATGCAGGAATAGAGCTTTGAGGAAATAGATTAGAAGCAGGACTGGGTTTTTGTAAGCTGACTGAGGCTGGGTGCAACAAATCTGTCCATGTCTGCAGTATGGGTTGAACAAAGCTGAGCTTACACAAAGCCTGTCTGACCAAAGACTGCACTGCGTTTATACAATCCCTTAATACCTGTTGTGAACATGCAGCATAATGCTCCAAGAAGCAATCCACATCATCCTCTAATAACCATACCAGGGACTCTACCTGGTCTGCACTAAATGGGGGCAAAAAGTCATTCCTGCTTTCAGGGGTACCAGATGAAGCCAACTCTACACAAACCTGAATCAAAGGTTGCACCTCAGAGAACTCTGTGCCCTGATCTACTAGAACATGAGCGATCCGTATACATTCTAGCAGTTGATCCCGGGTATACTCCCTCAGATTCTGATAAGCATACTCTCTGTCATCAAACACTAGCAGAGATAAATACACAACCTCATCAAGATCCATCCTTCCCAGCAACAAGCCAAGATGGCTTGGCAGCCACTTCTGGTCAGGATTGGCCTTGGTGTAATGTCAGGGCTCCAGGGTATGACCAGAGGTATGTGACTGATGCAGGGAAAACGCAGGCTTCAGATAAGTTATAAACAATATAATTTATTAAAGACTAACAATACAAACATAAATGCAGTGCAATACTAAAACATAACACAGTGCAAACGAACCAAACCAAACCACCCACAGATAATACATACAATGCAAGCGTCGTCAGGCAGGCCGGGTCAATAACAATCGGGCAGGTAGGTACAGGGGGTCAGGCAGAGAATGGTCGGGGTCACAAGCCAGGGATAAAACAGGAGAAGTCAGCAGAGGTCCGGATCAGGCAGGGTCAGCAGCGAATCAGACAGAGACAGGAACAGGAACAGGAACAGGAATGCAGGAACAAGATACAGGGCCCAGGAAAAACACACACCAAGGCAAAGACTGCAGGTCTGGCCATCACTTAAATACACCTGCATAAGCAGTTTCAGGTGTTAGGCTGGCTGCAGGGTTGAGTCTCTGATTGCTGGGAGCACCCGCTGGCCAGCCCTGGTACTGCAGCCCACAAGGCAGGTGAGTCCCACCATTACTGGCAAGTCCATTCCTAACACCTAGACATCAATGCCGCAGAGGAATTAGATCTACTCATCAGATGGCTGGGTCCCCAGTCTACTGAACGCATCAAGAGGATCAAAGCAGTTCATATTGACAACCCTGCTGCAGGCCTTAATGCTGCTTGGGGCAGACTTGGACATACCTTTGGCAGCCCAGGGGACATTGAAGATGCTTTATTCAAAAGGTTGCAAAGCTTCCCAAGGATTTCTGCTAGTGACAATCTAAAGTTTCAAGAACTCAGCGATGTCCTATTAGAGCTTCAACTTGCTAAGACTGACATCAACTTACCTGGTCTCAGTTACCTTGACACCTCTCATGGCACCAAATCTATTGTTCTCAAGCTACCATATGGAATTCAAGAAAGATGGGCAGCGCTTGGATCAAAATATAAGGAACAAAATAGAGTTGCCTTTCCTCCTTTTTCCTACTTCTGCGAGTTCATCAAAAGAATTGCAGACACTAAGAATGACCCAAGTTTCTCATATGGGGACTGTAACCTTCTTAGTACACTCTCTCCAAGACCTACGAACACATGTATATCGCACAGAGACCATAGAGGTCCAGCGTTAGTGAAAAGGACTAATTTTCTACCTGCACCTGCTACAGTTCTTGAAAAGACTGATCAAAACAAGAGAATTGAGGACCCAAATCACCAGTGTCCAATACATAACAAACCACATCCACTTAAGAAATGTATCGGCTTCAGAAAGAAAACCCTCCAAGAACTTAAGGAACTTTTGAAGAGATTTGGGGTTTGCTACAAATGCTGTGCCTCCACAGAACACTTTGCAAAGGACTGTAAAGCGATCATCAAATGTATAGAGTGTGACAGTGATGACCATGTGCAAGTCTTCATCACTATTCACACAAATCTACTACGCTCACAAACAATCTTCCTGAGGCAAAGCAAGGCGGGGAGCGCCCAGATCAAGCAGCACCTACCACCCCAGTGTTCTCTACATGTACAGAGGTCTATGGAGAAGGATTCTGAGACAAATCTTGTGCAAAGATATGCTTGGTCCGTGTATACCCCAAAGGTCAACCTGAAAAGGCCATAAGACTGTATACTATTCTGGATGATCAGAGTAACAGATCTCTTGCAAGAACACAGTTTTTTGAACTGTTGAACATAACTGGAGATGCTCTGCCTTATACTTTAAGCACTTGTTCTGGCACTACAGAAGTCTTAGGTAGGAGAGCCAGTGGTCTCCTAGTTGCTCCTCTGAATGACAATGTGGAAATATCTTTGCCCACTATCACTGAGTGCAACCAAATTCCAAGCATTAAAGAGGCAATCCCTACTCCTGAAGCTGCTTTTCACCATTCTCACTTAAAGCACATAGCCAACCAAATACCAGCCCTCGATGAAAGTGCCAATATCCTGCTGTTACTTGGTTGAGACATCCTAAGGGTGCACAACGTTCGTCATCAAATCAACAGTCCACACAATGCACCATATGCTCATCGTCTGGATCTAGGATGGGTCATCATAGGCAATGTCTGCCTAGACAAGGACAGGAGGTCCTACTCAGTCGCTTCCTTTAAAACACATCTCCTGTCAAATGGACGAACAACTTGTTCTGCACAATGACCACATAAATATATTGTGAAAGAAAGACTGTTCGAAAAAGGTGCACAACAGCACATCATACAAGACAATAAGAAAGCTCTTAATCTCTGGGATGCCAACATCGGCAACACAGTGTTCGAGGTAACCACTAAAGACAATGAGTTGGCAGCTACCATAGAAGACAAAGAATTCTTGAAAACCATGAGTAGAGAGTTCTACCAAGGTGATTCCAACAGTTGAGTAGCACCTCTACCATTTTGTACCGCAAGAAAGAGACTACCAAACAACAGGGTATATGCAGAATCTTGGTTTGTTTCTTTAAATCACAGTTTGAACCAGAAGCCTGAGATGAAAAGACACTTTGTGGACTTTATGCAGAAGGTGTTTGAGAGAGATCATGCTGAGCCTGCACCTCCTCTTACGGAAGGAGAAGAATGTTGGTACTTACCATGCTTTGGTGTGTACCATCCTCGCAAGCCTGATCAAATTAGGGTGGTCTTTGACTCAAGTGCTCGTCATGAAGGTGTCTCCCTCAATGACAATCTTCTCACTGGGCCTAATCTGAACAATAATCTCATAGAAGTTTTACTTCACTTCAGACAAGAGCCAATTGCTGTTATGGCTGACATTCAGCAGATGTTCCACTGTTTCATCATCCATAAAGATTACAGAAACTTCCTCAGGTTCCGATGGTACCTCAATAATGATGTCAATGATGAAGTCATAGACTATCGAATGAAGGTACATGTTTTCAGTAACAGTCCTCCTGCAGTAGTAGCAATTTATGGACTGAGGAAAACAGCTCAAGAGGGTGAGAAAGAATTTGGATCTGATGCAAGACAGTTCGTCGAAAGGACTTTCTATGTAGACGACGGACTTCAATCTCTAATCTTTTTTTTTTTTTTTTTTTATTTACACTTTAACCTCCCTGGCGGTATTCCCGAGTGTAGCTCGGGGTAACATTTCAGTACCAAAAGCGGTAACCCCGAGCTACACTCATGAATACCATGTGGCACTGCTCCGGCATGTGTTCTTCACTTACCTTACCCTGCGCTCCCACGATGTGTCCCCTGCAGCGTCCCCGGCCATCTCCTCCGGCCGATGCCGGCATCCGGCTTCTGTGTCCTGTCCCTGTGACGTCGGGACGTACAGGCGCCGCCGCCGCCGGCGGGAAATTTAAAAATTTTAAAAAATGTCATTTTTTTTTTTTTACATTTTACATAGTAAAACATTGCTGTCTCAACCAATTTCACATACATATTGTCCCTAGTGCTTTGTCCTGCGCCCTGCCTGCATTTTGTCTGTTCTTTCTGCCTGGAAACTGAGAAATGTCCATGGCGTCCAAAAAGTGTCCCTTTAGGTCAAAAGCGGTTTAGATCAGCTAGAGAACAGCGATAGTAAATCAGAACCACTTGCAGAATTGAGTGATAATGATTAGTGGGGGAAATTCGTCATCAGACACTGAAAACGATTTTGCGACTGAGCTCAGCAATGTGCGAACTTGCTGCTATATTTCACATTTCAGTGTTTTTGCTTTGATTATATTATTGAATTAATTTTTTTTATTATTTTTATATTATTTTTATGATTATTTATTAAATTATAATTTATGATTTTGTGTTTCAAATTTTATCATACCCGGGATGTTTACTAGACTCTTGTTCGGACAGATTTCAGTGAGTTTTTCCTAAAAATTACAGCCTACAATAAAAAAAATACATATTTCCATGCAAAAAAATGGTACCGCTTTCAGCACCAAAAATCTGAAATAATCATACCGCCAGGGAGGTTAACATGCAATAAAGATTTTCAGTTGAAATTGATACCTTTTGTGTTGTAACTTAAATGTGTAAATGGGGGAGGGGGGGGCCAGGAATAGCTCCTAAAGTAACTGAAATGTAAGTATTCTTTTAGAGAATTAGCTTACAATCTTTTATTTTACAGTTACAGTATAAAATTAC